AAAATCAAACCTTTTAACAGGAAAAATATTACTTACTCAGTACCCAGCAGTCACCCTACAGTAATAAGAGACTAGCCATCTTACTACCAGCTGGGAAGTCCTCTCTCTCTTCTCTTGTCCCTCTTCTCCGGCCTCCACTCAAACCCACCCATACACAACTCCACTCAAGCCCAAATACATACTGTCATCCACCCATTTCAATCCAAATCCTCTAGTTTCTCATCAACAAATCAACCCACCTCGGACAATTCACCCATACCCTGATAATGAACGGAGATCGGATAAAGGCTTCTGCAATTGCTAAAGCGAAGGAATCTATCACTAAAAATTCGAATGCGCATGCTATGAAAAAAAGGAAGAAAGATTCGTTAAAACCAATCATCACAACCGAGCAAGACTCTGAATCTTCCAAAATGGCTTCTGTTCAAGCCCGTGCAGGGTAAGTCACCTAAATGTCCCACTTTCTAACCTTCCAACCCTCCTACAGTTCAGGTGCAGCGCCTCGAAATATAACACCCCCTCTCCAACAAGGCGGCGCAAAATGCTGCAGTCTACTTATTTTCATTCAAGATGATGAGTTCAATGCTACAAAATTTGCTAACTAGAATCGATGATGGAAATAGATCTACTTCGGGCACAAATCGCGATCCATCATCCTCTTCCTCTAGAGAAGACGCTGCAGAAACCACGGCTGACGAAGAAGATTCCGAAGATTACTGCAAAGGAGGTTATCACCCAGTCCAAGTGGGTGAGAACTTCAAGGATGGCAAATACACCGTGGTTCGAAAGTTAGGATGGGGTCATTTCTCGACCGTGTGGCTTTCCAAAGACAACGTCACTCAGAAACATGTTGCTTTGAAGGTTGTACGGTCCGCAGCGCATTACACAGAAACGGCGATAGACGAAATCAAATTACTGAATAAGATCGTGGGTGCTAAACCAGATCACCCAGGTCGGAAGCATGTTGTTAGCCTGTTGGATTCTTTCGAACATAAAGGTCCTAACGGCACACATGTCTGCATGGTGTTTGAAGTTCTGGGAGAAAATTTGTTGGGTTTGATCAAAAGATGGAACCATCGCGGAATTCCTATGCCTCTTGTTAAACAAATTACAAAACAAGTTCTATTAGGTCTGGATTATCTACACAGAGAGTGCGGCATTATACACACAGATTTGAAGCCGGAGAACGTACTGATAGAAATTGGAGATGTGGAGCAAATCGTGAAGACATTCGTCAAAGAGGATACAAGCAAGGACAAGGAAGATAATCGAAATGGCCGAAGAAGACGGCGAACTCTCATTACTGGAAGTCAACCATTACCAAGTCCATTGAATGCCAGTTTCAATCATGCAGATTTGATGAGGTTTCCTGGCAGCACTCCAGGTTCCCATGGAAGTTTAAATCAAATGTTGAGCGATAGTAAATATACTCCATTGGAATTACCTGGCAATTGATAAGATTCTAATGGTTGGTGCAATAGGTCGTTCTAACAATTCTTCGCCTCAAAAAGAAAAGGCAGATGAGGATAACCACACAACACGAGAGAAGACTGCGTGAGTAGTTATTTCCATGCCATTAAATGCCATTTCTAACTTGATTTCTAGCGACATTCTTACAGATAAGGTCTCTGGTATATCACTCGACAAAAACTCTGGCGAAAAGAAAAAGGCAGAGGATCCAAACCAATTCGACATAATATCAGTCAAAATAGCCGATTTGGGAAATGCATGCTGGACTGGACACCACTTTACAAATGACATTCAGACGAGGCAATATCGATCACCAGAAGTTATATTAGGTTCAAAATGGGGTGCTTCTACGGATGTTTGGAGTATGGCTGCTATGGTATATTTGTCCATCCCTTTTACAAGTACTATATCTAATCTTTCAATCATCAGGTCTTTGAACTTATTACTGGTGATTACCTCTTCGATCCTCAATCTGGAACCAAATATGGCAAAGATGATGATCACATTGCTCAAATAATCGAACTTCTCGGACCTTTCCCAAAATCCCTTTGCTTGTCTGGCAAATGGTCGCAAGAAATCTTTAATCGCAAAGGTGAACTACGAAATATTCATCGATTGCGCCATTGGGCCCTACCAGATGTATTGAAGGAAAAATATCATTTCAAAGAAGATGAAGCGAAGAAGATTGCAGAATTTTTAACCCCTATGTTGGAATTAACGCCAGAGAAGAGAGCAAATGCTGGAGGGATGGCAGGCGCACCATGGTTGGAAGATACTGCTGGTATGAAAGGGGTGAAGATTGAGGGTCTGGAAGTGGGGAGCAAGGGTGAAGGAATTGAAGGGTGGGCATACGAAGTTAGGAAAAGATAAGAATTAGATTGATGTCTGGAGATGATAGAGCGTAGGGAATTTCTTTCATATGGAACTCGGGCGCAGATGCTGGGGGTTGGGTGGGTGAATGACCATTTTCTGTTGGTGATCTCACGGGGATTCGTATCTACGGAATGGTGGTATTGAAATGAAGTATGTATCACGAACAACGACTTTCACATATAGTATAAATGAGAATTGAGAGATGAGATGAGATGATGAGAGAAGATAAGAGAAGATAAGATAAGAGAAGAGAAGAGATGTAAAAGCGGAAATGGAAATGGAAATAGGAAGAGGTAGGGTAGGGTAGGGTAGGAATAGATGAATGGTATGAATGAATGGTACGAATCGATAGGATGGTATGAAATCAAATGCCTAGGAAAGCAAAATGCAAAAATGCAAAATGCAGAATGGATATAAAGAAAGGTGTATGTATGTATGTATGTATGTATGTATGTATGTAAGTAGGTAGGTAGGTAGGTATTTGGTGAAAGAGAGAATTATTATTTTTTTATCTGAAATCTAATGTGAAATGAATAAAATTTGGTGTTGGTATACTAGAAGATTTTTTGTCTGTTTTATGGTTTATTATCTTGGGGCTTTTTTGAGGGGGGGCGAGGGGAGACGAGGGGGGAAGTTCAGGTTTTGGATTTGATTCTTGGGTAGGAGGATGGGGGGTTGGGGGGTGAGGGGATGAGGGGGTGAGGAAGGAAAAGAATTTTCCATGATTTTTTTAATGGGGTTTTTTGTGTATATATATATATATATTTATATTTATATATTTACACATATAAATCAATGAATTAATGAATGAATATTTATATATATATACATATCTTCGAGACAAATTATCTAACTTTTGTTATCTAGTTATCTAGGTAAGTAGTTAGTTAAGTAGTTAAGTAATTAAATAAATAAAATATAAAAAAGTCCCTCAGGCTCCCCCACCTACTATCTATTAAGACTTGTAATTAGGTATCTAAATGATTTTTGAATAATAGTAAGTCCTTGAGATGTGGATAAGTGGGTAATTATACTAGCATTATGCTCGTTTCTATGTATATTCAAGTTTGAGAAATAATATGAGTGAAAATGGTTGGTTAGTTGTTAGTTGTTTCCTAGGTAATTGGTGGTACATTTGTATTGCACATTGATGTATGTCATGACTCCTGACTCCTTACTCCTGTCTCCTAGTCATGTAATATCTAGAATAAACAGCATATAGATCCACCATCCAAGCACGTATTTCCCATTTGTTCCTAAACCAATGTAGACCTCCTTTGTACTTCCTTTTCCCTACAATATATATCGAGAACGAAATACTCCAAACAGCATCCAATTCTAGCTCCCAAGTTTTCTTGACCAACCTACTCCAAATATCGTCTCTCTCCTTTACTTGGACTCCTTCCCTTAGTTCTCCCCCGATTTTTACTAGGACTTCTCTCTATTGTCTTGAATTCAAACTCTCCATTTCCCATACCATTTCCGAATCCATTCCTCTGGCCGAATAATCCTCTTTGCGTAGTACTTGCGCCTGTAGGCCAAGGTTCATATGGTCCGAAATGTGATTGGGGAGTTTGCGGGATTCCCCATGGATTTGGCTGGCCGAAATAGTTTGGGTGTTGAGGAAGATGTGCTTGAGGATGGGGTTGGGGTTCGGGGTGGAAGGTTGGCGGTTTAGAGCGGAACATTCCAAAGGCCATGTTGTTTGCGGCGATGGAAAGGGTGAGAATTAGAGCTACGAAGATCTAGTTGAAATGTTAGCTGAGAGCCGGGGATAAGACAAGGTGAATATAAAAGAAAACGTACCATCGCTTTGTAGCTAATAGGTTGAATAAAACTATCCAAAATCTCCGCGAATGTTTTTGCACTAATTCTAGCTCTTCCGACACTATTTGGATCCATAGTCATACAAGCTTCCCAATTATTACAAACCGTTTCTAAAGCAGGTAATCTCATACTAGGTTCACATCTGTTCTCTGCGTATTGTTTTGCGCAATGTGCCATTTCAGATAGAACTTCCGCTGTGGCTTTTTGAGATGCTTTATCAACGTCGCTGCGAATTGTAGTCCAAAATGAGTAAACTCCAAACATTATTAGCCCCACAACAAATGTGTTGAGCGCTAGTTGAGCATAGTAGGAAAGGATGTTGGGAAGATTAGGTCGAGACTCAATGCCGGATAAGAAGGAGGAGAACCAGCCTGGTTTGTCTTCCGCTTGGCTGCGATCATTAGATCGACTATTTGGTCTTGAGTCTCCAGACTCGCTCTCCGTTTCCGAAACAGATTCTTTCCTGTGATGTCGCACTATTCCCATGGTTTCATCTTCTCTCTCATCTCGATGTTGACGCTTTCGCTTTTTAGCTATAGGTTGTCCTACTAGTTTCATTCTTCGTAAATCATTTCGAGCGCCTGGACTAGTTCCTTTATAATTTGTGCCATATTTTCCAAAAAGTGGTTTACGTGCTGAAGCGTGGGACGAGAAGGTCGTCATATTTTTGCTGGTAGTCTTGGGTATTTCAGGTGTATCCTCTGCATCGGCAGTCTCGCCAGGTGAAGATTCAAGTCCAGAAGCTTCGGAGTAAATATCTGGAGTATGTGGTTTGCGGGGTGTGGTGAATGCTGGATTTCGAAATGCTGGAGCTGGTGTGGAAGACTTTGTCAGAAAAGAATTCGTTGGTTTGGTAGAAGCTGGTTATCACGTCAGTAAAAATGTAACTTTCTTTCAATGGTCCTAAGTTGGAAATACTCACCATTCTCAATTTGTAAAGCATTGAATTGTAGGAAAGGTGATTTTGGGTCCATAGGGCCACCTTTCTCCTGCCATTCAAAGTCCATAGGACCTTCCCCTGTCCTTCTTGAAGTGTTGCCATACATCCTAATTCTTTGCTACTTAATAGCAAAATTTGGAGCTCAATAGTGAAGATATGATAAAGTGAGCGTGATACAGTATTTAGAGAATCAAAAGTAAACAAAAGATTCCTGCTCCTGAGGCAACCAAGCTTTATTGGGTGGGGCGCTAACCTTAATACGTACTGGCTGGAATTGATTGACAAAGCTTCATCATTCACTTCATTTTGGCAACGCGAATTGCGACCAGTCAATTCAAATAATTTCTTCGCATCTGTCCATTACTTCAACAACAACTACAACTCCACGTCGATAACATATTGCGATCGGATTTTGATAAATCTTTGAATAGCGTTTCAAAATAACACGCCCATCTGATAGATAATAATTTCAAACACCTTTGTCCTTCACAATCTACAAATATGTCGGATACCGACCTCGATTCAAGGCTCACCACACCACTTCCAGAAGCTGGGAACGATGCTGGAGATCCGAATAGACCTATTTCACAAGAACGGGATACACCAGAACCTCCTATGGCCAACCCAGATCTCGATATGGATGATTTAGACAATGCAGAAAACGGAGCTGAATCCGACAATGAATCAGATCTTTCCGAAGTCGATGAAGCCAATTTTGATGATTTCGATGCAAGTAAAGTTGCCTTGGATGAGAGACCAATGGTTGGTATTGATGAAGATGTTGCGAAGACGTTAAAGGCGAGTAAGCGCAAGCGTACGGATGGTGAGGGCAAGAAACCAAAGGAAGGAAAGCGAGAAAAGAAAAAGAGACCGCGCAGAGATTCAGACGAGGATCCAGATGGAATTGAGATTGATGGAAAGAGGGTTAGAAAGCCTAAGAGAGTTGATGGCGATAGAAAGGAGAGAGACAGAACGAAGGAAAGAAGAAAGGCAACACCAGAGCCTGAAAATGATGAAAATCTTACACCTGATGAGAGGAGGCGTAGAGCTTTGGATAAGGCTATGGATGCTGCGCTGAAGAACCCTAACAAGAGAAGAAGAAAGAAGGATGAAGTGGTATGCATATTTTATTTGTTGAAAGAAAAATAATCTAACTCGGTGCAGGATTTGGAAGAAGCATTCGATGATGAAATTGCAGCTTTAAAGCTTCGAATGGAAGAAGCTTGTCAAGCTGATAATGCTGCTCGAGATGCCAATTTACCCGCAACGAGAAAACTCGAAATGTTACCAGAAGTCGTCGCTCTTCTTAACAGAAACACCATTCAACATTCTATCGTCGACCCAGATACCAATTTCTTGCAATCCGTCAAATTTTTCTTGGAACCATTGAATGATGGAAGTCTTCCAGCCTACAATATTCAACGTGATCTTTTCCAAGCACTCGCACGCTTACCAATTGAGAAGGAAGCACTTTTGAGCAGTGGGATTGGTAAGGTCGTTTTATATTACACCAAAAGTAAGAGGCCAGAAATAGGAATCAAGAGAATCGCGGAAAGATTATTGGGAGAATGGTCACGACCAATTTTGAAGCGAAGTGATGATTATAAGAAACGTAAGGTCGCGACAAAGGAATTCGATCATCAGTATGTACATCCATTTCAACATATCTTATTCTTACTAACATTTTCTTCAGAGCCGCACAACTTGCAATCCGTCCCTCCGGTTCTCAATCTTCGCAGATGCCCTCTTCCCAAAGAACACAACTCACAGCGCGTGATATTGAACGTCAACGTCTTCTCGCACCGAAAATTATTAGCAACAGAGCTAGAATGGAAACCTCAAATACCAGTTACTCGATTGCCCCTAGAAGTAACTTTGATCCAAGCAGAGGTTTGGATCCAGCTTCCAGACCTATTGGTGCTGGTGGTGTGGATGCCTTTAGGAAAATGACAGCCAAACAGGGGAAGAAGAGGTAATAGGTTGATTGAGCGGGTGTGGGCGATCGTGCGGTAGAGACGATTTGTATTATTCAACGAATGGAGAAAGAGGGACACGCAGGGCGTTTTGTAACTTTCGTCGGACTGCTAACAATAAGGTCGTTTCATGGGTATCATAGGAAGGAATAAAAGGGAACGAAAGGATAATCATTCATACGCATCACATACTAGGCAGTCATCTCAATCAAGTCAATCGGGGTCATGAATTTGAGAAAATTGAAAATACCATTACTGGTGCATTTACGGTTCCGTTCCTCTTTCCCGATTGTGAAATGGAGAGTCTATCCGAAAATCAGATGATTCTCAGCCGATACTCACATGTTTCCGCAGTAGACAAAGTCGGGTCCAATCAAAGGGAATGAGAGACACAACGTCGTGGTGTCCTAGTGATGGACAAATGCTAAATATACAACATCTCATCACGTCGTATAAACCTCATCCAATACCTACCAACAGTACTTTAAACACTATACTGAACGGAATCATCCCCCCACCAATACCAATACCATCTTCTCTGCCCCCCATCCCCCCCATGGCATCCAACACTTCGTATAGAAATACCCAGTACAGTAGTCCACGCGCACATCATATCTTTCCTTACCTATCTATCCTTGGAATAAAAAATAAAAATAAAATAAAAATCTCCTGAATATTATTCTCCATAGGCGAATTCCGACCTACGATTACGAAACAACGAATAGCTGAATCGTTTTTTTTAGTAAAGTAGTGGATGAATGATCGGATTTGAGATGTTCGGAATTTGTTGGGAAACTTGGGGATATGTGTTCCGGGGGTTTCCGATGGGTATGAGATGAGATGAGAGAAGAGAAGAGACGCGTAATGGGGCTTTATGTACTCCGTATGGGGTTTTGTATAATTTATGATTTTATACTGAGGGAGTAGGTACTTATACTTGGGTATGATAGGATAATTTGCTCTATGATAGGTGGGAATTTCTTGTGTAGATGGATATGTTTGATAGCGCTTGATTCTTGCGTGCTGAGTTATCTTACAATTGTCTTCCTTGCGTGGAGGGTTTGTGATGGGTGGCGTGAAAACTGGATCCTTTGATGTTGCAGATGGATGGGGAATAGAGAGCGGATGTATCTCCGTATGCATTGCATGTATGCATGACGGGAGGTGTAGACTAACTAATGCCGCGCGGGGCGCGGGTCGGGCCTCTCCTTGTTCTGGGTAGGGGGTAGATGGGATGTGGTGGAGATGGATGGATGTGTTATATATGTATGTCATGCTATGTTTGTCGGTATCTGTTATTTATAGTGTTAGTATTGTATTATAATGTGATTTGCGTGGTGCGTGACGCATGTTAATGGTTGGATGGGGTGTTTTTTATTGATATTGAGGCTGCTGTGGAGTACATCA